AATATTGTCTGTCAAAGACGTACACGGTTGAAAATCAAAATCTATGAACTATTTACTAATCTTTAAAAATGAGATATCAAATAGGCACACAAAAGAACTCACAGATCAAGAATACTGAACTAATGTTCAAATACGCAGAAAACATACTGACCGACGTTAAAATTTACATTCGCACGATTTTCGGATGTTCAACATTCGAAAATACCAAAAATTGGGATGTTGAACATCCGAAAATAGGAAAAAACATTGTTCCAGTTGCGTCTAATTTTGGATGTTTAACATCTGAAAATCTCATAAATTCGGATGTTAAACATCCGAAAAGGGCAAACTTGTCTTTTTTAAAAATGGCGTCATGGAAGATAAAAACGGACACTTCTATAATAACTGAAACTATTTGGTGTAACCGTAATAACGTAAACTATAATGGATATGTACGTAATTTTCCCTTCAAACTTTGTCATTAGATGTAATCTGGTGTTGAAAATTTTGTCATAAGATGTAATTTGGTATTGAAAATTCTTAAGATAGTGTGAGAATTATTTTAATTAATAATTATAAAATTTTAAATTTTGTTTCAAATCAAGCACATTTATAAACGGGTGCAGTTTGCATACGGATGCATCCGTAGGTGTAGATGTAAGGTACACCTTCAAATTTAATCATGGTATATAATTTTGACGTAAAATATTCTTAGGATTATCTCAAAATCTATTTTTATATTTAATAATAAAATTTTAAAATTAAAAAATGGTTAAAATCAAGTAGATCTATAAACATATAAAAATCTTGAAAATGGACGGTGCATATAATATGTTGTAAAATGCACTATTTCTGAGACTTAAAATCTTTTTATTTTTTATAGTCATGCATCTCGATGTCGTGATGATCAATCAAAGGGTTTTTCAAGATTAAAACTACCTTTCCGATAGATTTTTTAGGGGCATCCGTTGTTCTACATTATAAGGTAGCATCCTTATATAAACTTTTTCCTTTATAAACACATGAAAATCTTAAAAAATGAATGGTCCAAATATGCTGTAAATTTAATATTAGAATTAAGAAACAAGCACACTATCGATCCGAAGTTTGCAAGATTCATCCAAATTTTGAGTCGCATGATCATGGCTTAAAAACACGGCTCAAAGTTGGTATCAAATCGATCGTCATGCCGATCCCTATAAGATAACAATCATTGTTCTGTCAAACGGGCACCAGAGCAACCCCAGATCATCTACAGAAGAGAATTCTAGGGCAGCAACAAGGACTGTTTTGGAATTTCACACACTGTTAGGCAGGGGCAAAACAATCCTTTTGCACCCAATTTTAGAAATTTTTTAATTCAATTAAATTGTAATTATCATCAATTAAGGTAGTTTTTGGGCATCCACCCATGTTTGGGTCCAATTTTGTAAGTACAAGCTAAACACCAAAACTTCTCCAAATCCATATATCTCGATATCCAAATAATCAACTAGATTTTTTCCAACATCAAAATAAGTCTTTTTGAGGGATTTTTGAGGTGCACCTTAATTCTATATTTTAAGGTGTCAACCTTATATGAACTTTTTCCTTTTTTATAACTACAATCTTTTTGGATTTCTAATGATTTTATAAGATTGATTGAGTGCCACAATGGTTTTTTTTTTTTTTTTCTTGTTTCTCAAAGTGGTATCCAGATTGGACTGGCCAATGAAATATTGAGGGGTTAGGTTTAGTTAAAATCAATTCAATTACGATTGAATTCATTAGACTGTATTTTAAATATATATAAACAAATAGGAGAAATAGTTTAAAAGTAATAAAAAATCATTGCCCCACCATTGTTTGAGAAAACCTAATAGTTAAAACCAGTTATTCAACCCAGACTGGTTGGTTTTTCACCAAACCCAGTCATTGTTTTTTATTGGACTAGTCAGTCTGATCCGATCTTGATAGCTATGGTTTGTCATCGTAATTTTATCCATTTTCACTGGTTATTACTTTCCACTATTTCCCTCTTTTATTTTCAGGAGATTTTTCCATCTCTCCTTCATCATCATCATCATTTTAGCCATTTTCTAATTAAGTGGGAATAGTTACATGAATCCTGGTTCTCCATTCCACTCTATTCAAGGTCATATCCTCAGTAAGGCTATAAGTCCCCGTATCTTTTCAGACTACTTCTAACCACATTCTTTTGGCCGTACCTTTTACCCTTTTCAATCATTCTACTTGAACTAACCCGCATCTCCTAACAGGTGTTGTACTTGGTTAGAACAGCACATGGCCAGCCTACCTAAGTTTACTCTCTCTCATTTTATTGCCTATTGGTGTCACGCCTAAATTATCTTGAACTGGTTCATTTTGAATTATATCCCTTTTTGTCTTACTATTCCTTCATCTCAACATCCTCATCTCCACTACACTCATTCTATGGGTATATTGTTTTATGTTTGCCCAACATTCCGCCCTATAAAGCAAAACTGATCTCATGCTGTCCTACAAAACTTGTCATTTAGCCTCATTGGTATGCGGCGATCATATAAAATTTCAATTGCACATCTCCATTTTGCCCACCCGGCTTTAATTATGTCTGCGACATCTTCCTCGATATCTCTATTTTCCTGGATTATCGACCCAAGATATCGAAAGTGCGGTTTTTTTGTACTTCCTGGCTATCAATGTTAACTACTTCATTGTCTCTACTCCTATTATTACTAAACTTGTACTCCCTATATGATGTCTTAGTCTGACTAATTTTTAAAATCTTTGGATTCTAGAGCATCCCTCCAAAGTTCTAATTTTGTGTTGACATCGTTTCGGATCTTATCAATCAAAACTATGTCATATGCGAATAACATGTACCACAATACCTCATCTTGTAAGTGCCTAGTCAAGTCGTCCATAACTAAAGGTGGAGAGTTTAAGGTCATTCTTAGACCATATCCCCCATCTCTCATTCATTATCATACTTTAAACAATGAAAGGGTGGAAAACTGAAAAGCATATGTTATCTATTTTTTATTATTTTTTTATAGGGAATTTATCAAAATATTCTAACATTGACCCATTCACACCTATTCCACCTCATGATAATAGATCTTGATGGGCATTTTAAAATTAGTTAAAAAACTTGAGTCGAATGCTAAATAGTTCATCTCCTGTAGGCGTATAGATAAAGGAACAGTATACAATGAGACCATTTACCTTTTGTACAAGGTGGTCACAATTAATCTTGACCGTTGAATATGAAATTGGGTAGCTGCATTTATTCCATTGACCAAGCTCAATATTTAAAAGAATTTATCTCAAGCTTTGTGACATACCCAAATTATTAGATTTCACATTGGTTATAAATAATTGCGACATTCTTATCCCAAAAGTAAACAGTCTCATTGTATACAATCCCTTAGATAAATTTCCCTTATTTTACGTATAAAAATTGGGAATCATTATTGCTTCATGGTTGCCATTTTTATGCTAAGAGATGATAATTTTTATATGTAAGTAACATTTTTTAACTTCTTTCCCGAAACGGTTGGGGTCAACAGGACGATATCACGGCTCTTATTTTCATGAAACAACCATTTTAGATTTGGGTCCGTTCTAAACAATCAAAGTAAAATGTAGTGTTCATAAAATTGAACTCAACAATAAACCGGAAATGGCCCGGAAGTGGTTTAATTGGCCTAATCGATAAACCGGCCAATTCAACCGTTCTAATTGAGCAAGTCCCGGGCGGTCAAAAAAGTGTTGAAAAAATATAAAAGATATTAAAAAAAAAACTAAAATATGAAAAACATATAAAGAATAATTAAAACCAAACACGTTCAAATGAAGTTGAAAATTAATGAAAAAAATAGATTTTAATGAATCAAATTTTGAATTAAAGTGAGTATTAATGATAATTTTTTTTTTAATCTTTACCGTAATGTAAAGAATTTTTAAAAATGCATTACAAACCAAATTCATTATTTTTAAGAATTTATATACATCTTTTTTATTTTTATTTTTTAAATACCAATCGATTACCAAAACCGCCCAAAACTTAAGATCTAAACAGACGGTTAGCGGTTAGATCGTATGGATTTTCTAACAATGTAAGGTCAAATAGTGTCGAAATATGTTGATTCAGTATCGAAAATTTTTATGATGACCTGAAAATTTATTTTCATCTCTAATTATAAAATTTAAAGCTTTAAAAATAGTGTAGTTCAAACAAATCTATGAATACTTGAAAATCTTGAAAATTGAAAGTCTAAATAATGAATTACAAGATATACTATTTCCAAGACTTGAAGTCCAATTTTTTTTGTTTTTTACGTTTATGTATCTCAAGGTCAAGAAGATCAGATTTGAAGTTTTTTGGTATTGAAAAAATCTTTTCTAATGAGTTTTTGAGGTGCGTCATGGTTTGATTTTTTAGGGCTTCAACCTTATATAAACTTTTTTCCTTTATCTTTTGAAACTTTTGGTGCACTATAAAATTTAGTCGCTTAATTTTGGTTAAAGCAAATAGTGTCAGTTTGAACCAAAGACCTACACTCTTGTGATAAATAGAAGAAACGTTTATAAAAAAAAACTCATAAGATATTAACTATTGGAAAATGGTTTGACAGAGCTGTAAACCTATCAAAATAAGTAAATCCTCATTTCAAAACTCATCGAAAATTGCGATTCAAGTATTGAAAAACCTTTACATCAATCATCTTGACTTGAATTATTAAATTGTTTATCTCTATTAAGATATGATACTTTTCTTCAAGTGACACGACAATGAGCTAAGGGTGCCTCATGTGAAATACGAAGTGCCCCGAACAAATACAACAAGAATGTTTTGATGCCCTAAGAATTACTGGGATATTCCAAAGGCTAACTATTTTTTGAATGTTATGATGCCCTAAAAACTATTCGAATATTCCAAAAGACTAACGGTCAGTCGGGTTGATATATATATTTTCAAATAAAATTGGGTCATGGATTGGTTCCATCCACACGTAATAAAAGAACAAAAAAAACAGGGGATGTTGGATGTGAATGGTGGGCTAGAATTTGGATAACGTGGCCAGACCACGAGAGGCGGGAATTCAAAGTGAGAAACTCAGCTTGGATGGTTGTGTGTGCTCACCATTTTCATTACACAAACCTTCTCCTCTTATTCGCATATACGAAGCGAGTAGCAGTGTTATGGGTTGCATTGTTGTTGATTGAAAGGAAAAGCTGAAGGCGATGGCTCTAATATACAACCATGTTGCATTCTTGAGGGGCGATGGGTTCTGCAAAAATGCAGGGTCGGAGAAGAAGTTAGAGGGTTTGAAGTTTGGTGTGGGTGAAGTGATGGGGAAGCAACTTCAACATCTGCACAAGGGGATGGGATTGAAGCGGACACGCTTGGATGCGCTCCGTATGTCCCTTACCACCCATACTATAAGCGAGACAAAGGTACAATTAATTAATTCCTCTCCCATACCACACTAGCTTGGTCCGTGATAGAAAAGAAAAGCGCCTTCGATGGCTTTCACGTTTTATAAATGAAAATTTCTTATATATGTTCCGATAAGATATTGTATGCAATGAGATCATTTGCGCTTGATACACCGAGGTCATAATTGTTTACTATCATTTGATAGGAAATATGACAGCTTGATAGAGTTTGAGAAATTTTTTATTTGAAGATTAAGGAATAAATGCAGCCATTTAATTTTACAGGTCAAATTTAATTGTGACCACCTTATACCAAATTCTTTTGTTAACTGACCCCCTTAATTCAAAAAAAAAAAGAAAAAAAAAAAAAAAAAAAGTAAAAAAGGCGACTTTCAAATATTCAAAACGATGTCCAAACCGAGCTCTCTTTGTAGGTTAGATGCAGGGAATCTTGGCCTGTTTGGAGCTTATACTTTGCATGCCAATATTTGAAGGAAAAGAAAAGGGCGTTGTAGAAGATGGAGCCAAAGTCAGTATAGTACATGCAACAGAGAGACACAGATTCCATGCATTTGAAGCAAGACGTGGGTATGAAAGGCCATAAACTAACTCTCTGTGTTTCAACGTGCTCCTGTAACAGTTTCGGGATATTGAAATGGAGAAAAGGAATCCACGTAGCGTGGTTGCTGTCATACTCGGTGGTGGTGCTGGTACCCGCCTATTCCCCCTCACCAAGAGGAGGGCCAAGCCTGCGGTAACTACACTCTCCCCCCCCCCCCCCCTCCCTCTCTCCCCAATTACCATCTCTCTCATTCGTTCCTATTGCAGGTGCCAATTGGAGGTGCATACAGGCTGATTGATGTGCCCATGAGCAGCTGCATAAACAGCGGCATCAATAAAATTTACATTCTCACGCAATTCAACTCTGCATCCCTTAATAGACACCTTTCGAGGGCTTACAACTTTGGAAATGGTGTCAATTTCGGAGATGGTTTTGTGGAGGTATGCATGTACTGTACTCATTGATCTTAAATTAAATCTCATTTTATTGTTTCAGTTCAATGTTACAATGTATCAGGTAGAGAGATTTAGGATGAATATTTATTTCTGTACTATCATCATGCTCGTGCAAGGGGGATCTTATATTCTGGTGTCATGAACAAGACCCCTCAGTTTATAAACTAAAACACAATGAATTATTTTCTTTTCTAAAGGACATGAGCTGGTGCTTGTCCTGGTGCGCATTTGTTCGCTTTGTTAATATGCGCGATCGTCGAATTTGCCCGTGATAGAGTGAACTATTTGAGTTGGTTACCTAACAAAATGGTTGCATTTTTGCGATGCAAGGCCTTGGCAGCTACTCAGACACCAGGTGAAGCAGGGATGAAATGGTTTCAGGGCACCGCAGATGCTGTTCGACAGTTTCACTGGCTTTTTGAGGTATTTTATATTACTTCTGTCTGGAATTTTCCTTACTATTCACTTGTTGTAGATCTTTAACCACTTCTTTGTTTAATATTGATACAAAATAAATTTTTAGTGCATCCAATTGGAATTGCTTATAGCACTTATTCAGATACACAAGAAGACTTTGAAATATGTTAAGAAACGCCAGAATCTATGACTATGTCCCACGGCAACAATTTTGTTTTTGCCTGTATGGCTTGTTCTTATGCCTGACTTTAGAGGACTTTCTTGTTTATTTAATGCGTACTATTATAAATGCTTAAAAAATTTAAATGAATATTTGTGTTATTTTTTCGTTTGTTTAGGGGCATGTTTGTTTATGAAAGAGGGGCTTGCCAAAACCCCCTCTTCCAAAAAGTACGGAAGCCACCCCGTCCAATGTCAAAAGGCGTTGTTTTTGCAAGCTTGTGGAAGCCACGGCTTCCATCTTGTGGTTTCCACGAGCTTGCAACAAACGTGGGAGTCCATTTGGTGGAACTTGGGTCTCCCACTACCCAAACGTTCAAACAAAAAAAACACACCCTAAATGTTCCTATCCTATTTGCACTATGTTATAGCTTTTGTGACATTTGATAACTGGCACGAACTTAAACACAATTACCTAAACCAGGATGTGTACGTTATGTACATAGAATTATGATGGCCACAAGTAATCATCAAATTCATGAGAAAATTGTCTGAGAAATCTAATTATATTGCTATACAACCAATAAAAATTACACTACAAGCCTCGAAAAGCAATGAATGATATATATATATATATAATATGTCTGTGAAAGACTGAAAATAAAGATTCCCCGTATTTGCAATAACAGTGTCATCCTCGTCTATAAATTGGGTAACGTTACACCTTTGCTATCCTAAGAGAAAGCACAATAAATTAAACCTCTGGTGAGCCTTTCTAAGCATTGGGTGTTGGATCTCTCAACCTCAAAATGTTTGACACATTGAGCTGAATGAAGAGTCCATTTTCCATTTGGCCTTTTCTTTTACTGGAAAGCATGTCTGAACCTGTAAAATGAGGTTGATAGAGAGAGCTCTTCACAATGCTAGAACCAAACCCTATATAAGTGACTGGATATTTTTTCACTGTGGTGTAGAGGCAGGCACCAACCATGACCCAGAGGTAAGCATCTGCATCAAGGCAGCTCATGACAAATAAAGGTCCGTAATGTTAGAAAATTAGTTGCTATAGTGAAAATAAAGGAGATATTCTCATGTTCTATCCCGTTCACTTGTACATGGTTCTCCAATATTCAGATACGGAAAGACCTGGTTATGTTTGTTTTTTTTTTCTATTGCTGGTCATCAAAATCAGTTACTGATCACATAAATGATCAAAACTGATCGTATTGTATTCAGATACAGAAAGGCATGGTTATGTTTGTTTTTTTTTTCTATTGCTGGTCATCAAAATCAGTTACTGATCACATAAATGATCGAAACTGATCGTACTGCTTTCTCTTTGTAGGATGCCAAAGGAAAGGAGATAGAGGATGTACTTATTCTATCTGGAGACCATCTATATCGTATGGACTACATGGATTTTGTTCAGGTTATGCATTGTATTTTTTGTAGATTACTTGCAGCTTTTGTGAAAGATCTTCTTAATTAGTTTTAGGGTGCTTGTGACTTTTCTTTGACAAGGAGTGATTATGTTCTTAAATCTTTATTGATTGAATTGGTTTCTCCATATGCAGGACCATAGGAAAAGTGGTGCTGACATTACAATTTCATGTCTACCTATGGATGACAGGTAGCTAAGCAATGTTTTATATGTGCCTATTAAATTTTGCATGCCAATACTTCCCTTGTATTATAGAAGTCCACTTCCTATTTTGTGTCATAGATGATATCAGGAAATTTATGCTATGGATGTTCAATATGGTTTTTTACTTAAAAAGATTTTTTTCAAGATTTAAATAAAATTGACATTAACTGAAGGAGTATGCATTGCGAATCTAGAGAAGACTGCTGCAAGAACTTAGTAGTATGCAAAAAATATTCCTCACCACTTACTAATGCTTCAAATCTCTCAAAAGGACCCCTTATTAGCCAGCCTATTAGTGGGTTGGTTTGCTACTATATACTTAATATTGATCGTCTTTCACGTCAATAGATGAACATGAATCTTATCATTTACAAGTTAACAACACTTTGTTCTCCTTAGCCATTCTTATTACGTTAGGAGCATCATCAAATATGCCATGTGGGCTGTGGTTGGACAATCCACTTTGACTCTAGAATCGGATTACAGGTTTAGAACTTTTGTAGGATGCTGACACTCCTTGGGTAAGAGCAACTGAAAATCATATCACATACAGTTTGTTTCCCATCATATATGGATAAAAATGGCAAAAATAGAATGAAGTGGTGCCACTTGTTATCTAAGAAATATCTAGTGATAAGATTTTCCTAGCTGAGGAACATTTTTTGGGAATGAGGATATTTGTTTGATCTCGGAAGAATGGAAATAGATAGTCTCAGTAATAATGTAGCATTTCCCTTTCCATCCTTTGGTGACTGCAGTGAAGTTCATTCTGTCATTTTGAAACTTTGTTTCAGAAGAATTAGCTCTTTAGATCGTTGAGACATGATTTTAAGATAAATATTACTCGGAAACAGGCCCTAACCCTTGGGAAATCAAATTCCCCTGTTTTTGAGCATATGAGATGTTTCTAGTCGGTAAGTATCTTAAATGAATAAGTTAGGCTTTGCATATGGCCTCCTACTCTTTAAAGTTCGTGATCTGGATTCCTACTTGTTTCTTTCAATGTGGCTTAGGTCTCTTTGCTTTCACCTACTTCTGCTTGTATGTTTCTGACAACTGCTGTTGCTTGAATGATATGCATCATTTTGGTTGAATATCCTCACTTCCTTATCAGAAGTTCCCTTGTTTTTCATTTCACAGTCGTGCCTCTGACTTTGGTTTGATGAAGATAGATAATAAAGGAAGGGTTCTCTCATTCAGTGAGAAACCTAAAGGTGATGAACTAAGGGCTATGGTATGTCTCATCCTAACGATGAAATGTTTCACTGATTGGATGCTATTAGAATATGAATTGAAAATCTCATTTTCTGATGAATTTTAATATTTTCTCCTTCTTTTCACTTTTAGGAAGTAGATACGACAGTTTTGGGGTTGTCACAGGAAGAGGCGGAGAAGAAACCATACATTGCTTCCATGGGTGTGTATGTCTTTAAAAAGGAGATTCTTTTGAACCTTCTTAGGTACGACTGATGAAGCTGTTGCTAGAATTTGCCCTCCTTTGTTATGATAGACAAATAGGATTGCCCCATGTCATTTGGCTGAATCACTACTAAAGAAGAAAGGCCATCATGTTAAACCGTAGAAAGTAGACACAGTACATATATGACTTCAAGAAAGAGGTGTTTCTGAACTACAGATCTTCGATGTTTGTTATTATAAACTGATATCTAAACTTGAACTGTGCCGATTACCCTCTTTGGTTAATTTTCAAGATGCCTTCCATCCTAGCTATGGAGACAAACAAGGGTGGATCTGTTTCTATAGCTATGTTAGGTTTGCCTATACCATCCATTACGCATTAAAGCATAAGTGGAACATGAGAATATTGGGACAACCCATTATGAATTGTGTACCTTGATTGCAAATCATATTGTTAATTATCAGTCTTATTTCTTTTAATTTCCCTAATCTCTAGTTTCATGGCATAAAGTGGATTATGAAAAAGTTCTGGGATTTACATATCTGGTTAGGTCATAGGTCTTAAGAGATGTAACACTGGCAGCAATGCAATGAGCAATACTTTGTACTTCTGTTTTCAGACTGAATTTAGAGAAGCTTTAACAGATATCAAACTGGCAGTTAGGAAACTGCTGCTGATGGATGATGGTAGTTTGCTCTTGGAGGCGGTAAGCGAAGGCTATTCCGGAGCAGGTTAGACATAATTGTTGAAATAGAGGAGTACAGATGAAGAATAGCCCAGAGCCTTACACATAGTTTAATGCGAAATTTTGTAATTCTTATAAGGTATTGCATCTGACTTAGTTGCATGCTGGTGGGAAGGCCATCTTTTGCTATAGGTCCTTGCTTTATCAGCATAATTTGATTATAAGTTTTCCATAGGATATCAAGTTAAAAGTAATGGAGAATTGTAAAGATTTATGTTCTTTGAATATTGTCAATCACTATAACTAAGATTATATGAGAAAATTGATCTTAAATAAATAGATGTAGTGGACTCGTCACCTTCCATTGAGAAAAATGATCTAGCTGACACGATAGGAAAAAGAAAATGAGATTCTTGGTCTTATATGCAGATTAAGATTCTAGAAAATGCCCGGCCCAACTGAGCTTGCTATAAATCAAAACTATTGAAAATTTTTAAGTTCAACTTCTAGAATAAAGCAGCACTTGCAAACCCTTGCAAACCCAATAGTATCACGAAATTGTCCTGAAACAACCTTCAGGGTTTCTCTTGCAGAAGAGAAAACTTATACGTTTATGTGTTGAAAGGCCCTTCCAAGAACCCTAGTAACCCACTTTTAAGGCCAACATAGTTCTTGCAAGGATATGGTTCATAGGAGCACCCACTATAACATGCCATTAGAGAAATTTGGTTATAGCACCGCCACGTAGCCCCTGGATCTGTCTTTTAGAACATATTATCCACGAATGCATATTTTGACACGATGAAAAATTGTGTCATTGAAGTTTCTACTGGTCAGGAGTTGTAATTCTACAAAAATGTTTCTTGGGTTCAACTACCACAGTCAAGTAGGCAGCTGACTTTTAAGTGGAAATTCTTCCGTTTTTTTGTGGCTTTATGCGCTCCTCTGTATGATTGTGTATGTGAATGAGTTATTAATACTGTTTCCTAAGGGATACTCAAAACATTATCAAGTATAGATGTTCTTTTCCTGTCAATAAAATATAGAGATCAATGTCAAACAGGAGCATTAAGTATACATCATTGTTGGAACCAGATGGCGTTTTCCTACAGCAAATGATTTTGGATCAGAAATAATCCCTGCATCAGCAAGAGAGTTCTTCATCAAGGTTTGCAACTTTGCATCAAAGGTTTCATATATAGCAGATATCAACGATTTTGAGACAACATAAAATTTGGACAGCTAAGTGGTAGAACTAAAGTTGAATGTTTGTGTTTCTAATTCATCAATGATTTTCTTTACCTCATAGACAAGAGGACCATGATATATGATTATATGTATGTCACTGAGGATGTTGATTTGCTTTTCCCCCTTTCAGTTTTGTTTCACTTTTCCTAGATGATTTGTATGCATGGAATATTTTCTACAGGCATTTTTATTCAATGACTACTGGGAAGACATTGGAACCATCAAATCCTTCTTTGAGGCAAATCTTGCCCTTACTGCACATGTAAGTTTAATGGTCTTTAAATGTCTAATGGTACTGTGTGAGATTATGGCTGGCATTTGAGATGCAAAGTTCTAGTTATTTGCAGTGGATATTTCTTGTTATTTATGCATACAATCACGAGCACACACATAGGCACATTCCATGGTCTAAGAAAGTGTGATGTGGTAGGTTTGAGACTTTGGGAGTTCGCAATTTCTTCCTCATAAAAATCTGCTTATCTATGAATCCAAACACATATTTATGGACACAAATTCGCACACACATTTCCACAGATTCACATTCAGCATGCAAGACAATACTTCTAACTCTTGTTTACACAAATGAAAATCATGATTATCTGCTCAAGATTGTAGGCTTCACGGTGTTTTTACTCTTTTGTGCCTGCAAAAATTAATAACTTCATCTGTTTCTGTAATTACCTCCTGTGTATGTTTTTCTACTCTACAGCCTCCAAATTTCAGCTTCTATGATGCAACAAAACCGATGTACACATCACCACGAAACTTGCCACCAACAAAGGTTGACAACAGCAAGGTTGGTTTTATATACTGTATGATAAAATATAGCATATAAATTCTACTATGCAATATAATAAATAAGGAAATACGTACAATAAAGCCATTTACTTTTGATATAAGGAGGTCACAATCATTTTTTACCATTAAAATCGGGTGGTTGGGGATGTGTTATTGACTAGGCACAAAATCCAAATAAAATTTCCCGAATGTTGTGACACTCCTCAATCTATCGTATTCCCGGTGATTGCTCTGCCTCGTATCCAATGGCTAAAAGTGATTGTGATTTCCTAATACCAAAAGTGAATGGTCTTATAGTATACAATCGCAATGAACAAATACTTGTGCAAAAAGTTGGCAATTAGATGAAATGCATCTTTTAATATTATTCTTTAACTATATGAAGATGCAAACTCCTCTGATCTATTATTTGAGATCTCTCACTTCTCGAATTTTCCTGTAATGATGAATGTACCCTTGGTCTTGACCAAACTTCACTTTGTATTTGCAAAGCTGATCTCCATCTTTCCACCTATCCAAAATCAGAATGAAAATTTCAACTTTCATTGATGGTACTTTTCTCATGTAACTGAATGTTTGAAAAATGAACTTCCCATTTAACAAGATGGCCTTTGTTTTTCCAATGACACACTGCTGCCCCTAAAAAATTTAGGAGATTTTAGATAAGTAATAACCGTTCTCACTGGACCATGAAATATCATTCTGACCTCTCTGATTTGATAATAGTACTTTTCTCAAAGCCAAGAAATGCATTTCCATTTGTAGACTACTTCTGTATCCATAGTATTTGGATGTTTAGTTCATAGATCTTTCTTTACCCGCTCTGGTTAGTGACATCTGGTAGGTGTAAAAATGTTGATTCTATCCACAAAATTTTGGTTGTTTAGAAACTTAAGCATGCATATAACTTTTAGTGGGGGAAGGATTCAAGTCTGTTATTGTTCTACAAATAATTTCTCCATTCTCAAGGAATCAGTGGAATTATATTAACTTATCCAATTGATTGGCATTCTGGTACTTGCACTGAAAAAGGAGGTAGGCCACCTCATTTGCTATCTTTCACTGATGGATCAAGTGTTATCCTCTAGAAACTGGTACCATGCTGTATTTTAGCGTGTAATTCTCTCCATTACAATCTCATTGTTATCTCTTAACATTTTGCAGATTGTTGATTCTATTGTGTCTCATGGAAGTTTCCTAGACAACTGTCTCATTGAGCATACAGTTGTCGGCATACGGTCTCGCATAAACCATAATGCGCATGTAAAGGTTCGAGCAGTATTTAGTTATTGCATCCTCTCTCTCTCTCTCTCTCTCTCACACACACACACACACACGTGTGTATATGCATGTGCGAGCGCATGTACATGTGCACACACACATACAGCTACATGCATGCTTGTGCAAGCACATGCACATGTGCTCACACACACAGATGTTCTGACTTTCCGTGTGAAATAAGCTCCCAGAGTTCATGTTTCTGTTATACCTCGGTTGACCTAAAATGAATTGAATTAAACTCTGCTAGTGAGCAAGCATAACTTTTATTCAATTAAATCCCAAGGATACATTTTGTGACCATGTTAATTACACGATATGGACACATGAAAACCATCTGTCTGATCTTTCTCTTTTTCCTTTTCTGAAAATGATTGGCCGTGTGTTTCCCATCCCAAAACTCGGGGATTGAAACAAACTGCTCCATTATTCTAGGCTAGGCTCTAGAACACAACATTATCAATGTTACTAGGATATTTTGGAAATCCAGAGTGTTAGTTGTTTTGGGTGGGTACAATTGGTTTTCCAAAGGTTTTTATTGTTTTGTGGAAGTGCATGAAGAGCTGACTATATTCCTAATACCCTGTACAGGACACAGTCATGCTTGGCGCAGATTACTATGAAACTGATGCAGAGGTAGCATCACTTTTGGCTGAAGGGAGAGTCCCTGTTGGAATTGGGGAGAACACAAAAATCAGGTACTGCCCTAGCATAATAAAGTTTCCTGCATTTGTTATTGGAAATTTGCTTCATGCGGGCTGGACCACAGTTCTACAATATGCGGTCCAGAGGTATAAAGCATCCATCTTAAAGATGGATGCAAATAGGTGGTTCATCTAAAAACAATTGTAACCAACGGACCAAAATTATTTCTAGTTTCAATTTTTTTTTTTTTTTTTCATATTCATGATCTCCATGTTAAAGATTATATATTCTCTACAAATTAGGATCAAATTATTTTTAAAAAATTTATTTATTGCCAAGCCTGCATTTCTACAATATGCAGGCTGGCCACATAGAAACCGTGTCCTTTGTTATTCTCCTTGCCCTTCTAATTTTATTAATTTCTTCTCTAAATTTTTTGTAGAAACTGTATTATTGACAAGAATGCAAGAATTGGGAAGAACATCATTATTTCAAATTCTGAGGTATAGATTCTTATTCTTTTACTTCTTGTTCTGCCACGTTTCAGTATATATCTGTTTCACAAATGTGTCAAACAAAAGAGGTAAAAGTGGTAGTTGCATGGTAGGGCCTATTTATACCGTATGGCAAAGGAACAAGAGACACATTTGGAGGACCATTAACCAGGTCCAATAATGGGTAAAATAGAGCATCAGAAAGCTAGCTAACTGAAAGCATTGAGTACAAGTGCAAAGCAATTTAACGATGCATGCGAGCCAGAAATTAAAAAATTCCAAACTCAAACTCTGTAACGGCAGATACCAGGATAGAATACCATGAATACAGCTTTTTGGAGTCGGTAGTATTGGGAGATACATAAGGATGTCCCCAACAGGGCTGTGCATTTTAGGGGCCATATCCCAATGTGTGATTTTTCAAGTATTGACATGCCATAGCTGCTTTTCATAACTAAATTTGTGGTGTATGTTCCGAGGTGCATGCATGTGTGCATGCCCAATACACTTGATATACCATGCAGTGGGTGAATTTTACTGGAGTTGTTCCATTATTTCCATTAATGAGAATTGGTAGGGGATAGTTTAAAAAGGGAAAAAAGAGAATAGGTAGGGGCCTCTTCCCTGCTGATCTACCCCACAAAACCCAAAAAAACAAAAGAAGAAGAAGAATAATTTGACTAGAGTTGAACTTTTACTTATAAGTTATAATATATCTGTAATCTGGAGGATTATGCTTGGGGGGGGTTCAAGCATGCATTTCTTTTTATGAGGTTGAAGTGTTCCAGTTAAAGCTGAGACATGTCTTTGATGGCTTTAAACTTCCTTTCGAGTCTTCATGATGCTTTATCTTTCTCAATTCTCAAAACTGGGATCTTCTGTGTGGCGGATTTAAATGCATGTTAATCAGGGTGTGCAAGAGGCGGACAGATCTTCAGAAGGCTTCTACATTCGATCTGGGATTACAATCATCTTGAAGAACTCAACCATCAAGGATGGCTTTGTCATATGACAAGCGAGCCTTGTTTCTTTTGTCATCACTATCACTGCAGCAAACTTCCAATGTGTGTTGAACTATGATGTGACAACAAGATGCTCACATGCACGAGAAGACATTAACCATAACCTAGTCTGCAATTATCTGTGGATGTTTTGATTCCTATCCAAATAGAATTACTAATACAGGTTCAATTGATTAAGGATGTAAATGTGTTATTGATTTTCCAAGACAAGTGAGCACTCTTTTTTCAAAATGTCAGTTGATATTTGTTACCTAGGAGTAGGCCCTACCCAGGTAGCCAGTGAGCTTGTTCAAATCACCCTCGGCAGTCAATCCTTACATGTATTTGTTATAATAGTTGATGCACCAATATGTACTGGATCGGTTGGTCATATTGAAAGCTTGCAGATCTTATATAGACATGCTTCAACAAGGATAGCTAGATTGATCAGTACTGAAAGCTTGCAAAGTCTTACATGGACACATTTCAACAAGGATAGGCCTGAAAAAAAGGCCATTCTTGCCACTAAGCTATAGGATATCCATATTTAGGGACAATGAGCACTCAAAGCATCAGAAAGGACAAATGCTTTCCATAATGCAGATTTGTTATGGAAACTAGTTTTGTCCACCTAATAGTGAAACTTATATTGCTCAGAAAAAAAAAAAAAAGAAATTCATTTCAATAAATTATCCAATGACATACAACTAAAGTTATTACATAGAGCATGTAACAACAACAATGGGCAAATCAAACCCCAGATGTCTATACCACAAACATATGTCAACAAGAACGTCATTCTTGTGCTCCATCGACTACGAACTCTTTACACTCGAACATCAACTCATTTTCATATCTTTGCAACACAAATCTCTCCTCTGGTGCTATTACGTTAGTGACAGTGCACATCTCATCTGATAAAGGGTGGCGAGCTGTCCTGCCAGCCCTATGGAGATACTCGACTGCCGTTCTTGGAAGATCAAAATTGTAAATGTGGGTAGTCTCTGGGAGATCTACACCTCTGCTAGCTAGTAGCAACCAGTAGACAACGTCCTTGTCTTGCTTCCTACAAATCAGCAGGACAAAATCATCATTTACCCAACTTGTAGAAATTATTACAATTGTGCAAATAAAATATATTGCCACTATGAAAACTTTGTGCTGTTCCTGGCAAAATGATTGTCTATATATATAGAATATGTGATTTTGGTAATACATACAGATGGTGTGACAGTGCGTGCATTGATGTTCATGCCCTCCTTAAGGAGAACGATTTCAGAGAATTCGTTGATGAAGATCTCAGAAACTCCATGATCCACGTGGCTGTCGGTGGATTTCCGGTCTTTATTGATTTCTGAAACTGCATGACAGGGAAAGGAACATTTCCTACAATTAATGTAGGGCCATAAAATGGAAAAAAATGGTTTTGGCAAACCAGAAGGTATCCTGTATCACAAATAATGTTAAAAACAAAACAGTATTTTGTTCCTAACATAAGATGCCTTGACCATGACTCCATGAGACATGGAATAGATTTGCAATTCAACATGCTCAATAGGAGTTAATTATAAAATAATAATACTCATAAACATGCAATCTGGGGACACGTATTCTATAATGGGGATGATCTATCTTTTTAATTGATTTCATGATGCCCAACACAAGCAAAATTTGCTTTTGCAATGAGCATCTTGAATAAGGGATGTAACGCTCATGTGAATTTTATGTAACATGAGGACTGGGATAAAATAACGTACATGAAACACATCCAGGTGAAACTACAGATATTACTTGTGACCTTTTTTTTTTCAATGACATTCTGGATATCAAATGCCATTTTGGATGTACCCAAATTTGATTTTTTTTGGATTTCAAGCAGTGTTTTAAAATGCAGGATCTGCGGTCGGGGGCCGACACGGCAATGCAGTCCAAATTTGGGTGCATCATCTTGATGCGGTCAATAAATATAAAGAATTACAAAAAATCTCAAAAAGCAGGTTAATGTATAGAAGTAAATATGAAGCTGATTTATGTGATAGCAGGTATTTTATTTATTCATTAATTCCAATATTATCAATTGTCGGAGACTCTGAATTCCCTGATGGAAGACATTAGAAAGTATAAATTAGAAACTTGAAAGTACCTATAGAAGACAGTAAAAGACATCATATTATCATAAATATCCAAAAACTATAATTGCAATTGCAAACTCTAAAGAAATATACAACCACTAAAGTCTATGTAGAGTTCAAGCCGGATCCTTGATATTCGAAGATTTTGAAGACATCGCCCAAACAAAAAAAGTATTAGGACATCAAAACTTACCAATTATCGAAAAAATTTCGATATCTTCTTGATCTATGAAACCCTTGATGTGTTGACGAATCTATGCCCAAACTTCTTCAAATCGACGCCCAAGCTTGTCCCAATCAACAACCCAACTAAGATCCAAAGCAATATGACAATTTCAAACAAAAACATTTCGTCCAAATTTTTTTTACTATTTATGATGATAAAATAGCCATCACTATGGCTGTTTTTTGTGTTTGGGGGGATATTGTACCCCCAAAACCTTTTCCCCCAAAATTACCTAACTAACCATGCTGTGGGCATTATTTTCGTCCATGAGCATGGGCAATCTATGCAGATGCTATGCGCCATGAACTATGTGCCCGCATATGCGCTGATACACGCATATCTGGCCTTACACATGACGTGGTCGCATTTTAAAACAATGATTTTCAAGACAAAAAGATTGAGATGGGAGACTTGGGGAAACGGAAACTGAAGGGTCTGAGAGTGAGAGAGAGAGAGCCACAAAGGCAGTTTCATAGAGAATTTTTGGACTTGGATTGGTCAACAAAGTCATGGTTACTTTCTCTCTCTCTAACCAATAATTATTTTTCCTGAAATGCAGTGCTGATTTTATGCAGAGTATGAATTAAACATGGATTGATTTTTTTTGACATGTGTTTGAAATGGGTAGTGATTTTATGTGTATGTTGTCTTTATGATGATATTCATATGTAAAGCATCCAAACAGACATATCTAGCAAATAAAATTTGTTCTAATATTTTCATCGACATCCAAACAGTCTACCAGCATGATAAAATAAGAGGAGAATATTTTTTGAAAGTGTTAACTTTTATATATTGATTAAGGAATACAAAGGGGAGAAAGAGAGAAGCTATCCACAAGGGGATAGAAGAAGTACAGGGGGGAGAGAGAGATAGAGAAGAGAAAAACGGAATACAAAGGCCTTCTTTTTGAAGGTTACATTAAAACAACGCAACCAAAGAAAAGAAACCCATTCCAAAACTTCTTAAGTTCCTTCACTGAGAACCGCTGCTTTGGCCATGGCGTCTGCGACGTGGTTTGCCTCCCTCCAAGTGTTCTTCCAGACGTCGATCAAACCCCTACATAGGTGGCAGATTTCGTCAAAGATATGATTTAGGACCCATGGAATAGAAGAGGGGTTCTTGGCTCAAGAGATGCCATTCTTGAAGTCTCCCTCTTAAAAAGGTCATATTAGTGGAAGGTTGAATAATTCTGATGCCCTCTAATAGCGCAGTAGCTTCAGCCTCCATGGAGTCCATGTGGCCTACAAACTTGGAGGTCGCAGCTCCTGTGGTGCTCGCGTGGTCCCTAAGAACAGCTCCTACTCCTGAGGGACCGGGATTCCCTAGAGAACACCAATCGAAGTTTAGCTTGAGTTGTCCCGGGGCTGGAGGGTGCCAGTTTGAAGCTCTAGAACGTCTTCTAATGGCATGCTGCAGAGTGACATTCCAATTCTGGTAGAAAGCTGAGGTTGGGACGCCTTGGAAGTATTTGTGCTTGGTGGTCCAAAGAACATGCCGCGACTTGACTTTGGAGAACACCACAGCCGGTGTTGCATATTCCCCACGAAAGATCCTATTATCGCGTTCTACCCAAAGAGCCTAGACTGTAGCTACTACCGCCGTTTTCCATACCAGGATACCTGAATTGGGCAATGGCGAAGGTTCAATAGCACTTAGTAGGGAAGGGACCTCTTTGGGTAAAACCCACAGAAAGTTGAAGCGAGACAAAATCCTCCCCCATAAGTCAAAAGCATACGGGCATAATAGGAACAAGTGGGGATTTGTGTCCTCTACGTTAAGGCACTGGGAGCATCTATTTGGAAGAGAGAAACCTCCTCTTTGTAGATGATCTACTGTCAGCACTTTTGAGGATAACACGATCCACATGAACAAATGTAATCTTGAAGGCACGAAAGAGTTCCAAGCTTGGGCCACTATTGAGGGGGTATGAAGAGGAAAGGTTGGTGGTTGGGTAATGAAAGTGTAGAAGGAAGAGACTGTGAAATTCCCTGAGGCAGCTGGTGACCAAATACATTTGTCGCTCCCCTTTTGAACTAGAAAGCAAGATGCCAGTGAGTTTGCGAGGTTTGAGAATATGGTGATCTAAGAGTCAGTAAGGTTCCTCTTGAAGAGAGGGTTCCAAGTTCTAGATAGCCCCTCCATTCTCATTTCGTCAGCTATAGAGGCCCCTTGACGTCACACCAAAGAGAAAAGTTCTGGAAATTGGTCTTTGAGAGCTTGTTGCCCCAACCACAAGTCTGACCAAAACCGAATTATGTTTCCCTCTCCAGGTAGGAACCTGATCCCTTTGGAGAACAGATTTCCATATCCAGGAGGCCCTGAGATAGGATCTCAACTCCGATAGCCAATGGGTAGAGGGAATTCGGTATTTAAACCTCAAAATGTCTAGCCACAGTTGTTCCCTTAGAGTTAGAAGTCTCCACCACCATTTGCCTAGTAGGGCGACATTCTGCTACCTGATGTTTCTTATCCCCAAACCTCCTTTTCGGTTGACATAGCTTATCCCAGGCAATCAGATGGAACTTATGGGTAGTGGCATCCCTAGACCAAAAGAATCTTCGAATAAGCTTTTCTATCCTATCTACTACCGCCATAGGCATGCGGAAAAGGGACATCTGATAGATCAGAAATGTTGGCTAAAGTGGCTTTCTGATATATCAGAATGTTGGCTAAAGTGGCTTTCTGATAGATCAGAATGTTGGCTAAAGTGGCTTTGATAAGTGTAAGCATGCCTGCTGGTGAGAGGAACCTTCCTTTCCAACCTGCGAAATTTTGATCATCTTTATCTAGGGTATTTGACCAAAGCCTCTTTCTCAGTTTACCTATGCATAAAGGTAGACCTAGGTAACTGGAAGGAAGTTCTTCTGCTTCGCAGCCTCAAAGGTCTGCGAAGGCTTTGACCTCTTCGGAAGTAACCGAGATCCCAATCATTTTGGTCTTCTTAAAGTTCACCTTAAATCCAGTCGCAATGCACCCGAGGAACCAAAAGAAGTACTTAACTTCGTCCAGTAAGGCATTACAAAAGACCATAGTGTCGTCCACATACTGGAGATGAAAGACAAATGGGCCATTAGTGCCACACGCGAACCCATTAATCAGGCCAGCAGCATACATCCTAGAGATAGATTTACTAAACACCTCTGGAGTTATGGTGAAGAGGAAAAGAGATAGAGGATCCCCTTGTCGTAAACCCCTAGAAGAAGGGAAAAAACCTTTCGGGGATCCATTGATGAGGGATTGAGAATTAGGTTTGGCCATAGCAAGCTCTCATCCAGCCTCTCCACCTACTACCAAACCCCATCCTTGATTGGGTCTCTTCTAGAATGGCCCAGTCCACATGGTCATACGCCTGTTCCCAGTCAAATTTTAGGATCAGACCCTGGATCTTGGCAATATGTCGCGAGTGGATGCATTCGTGAGCAACTAGGGCCGCATCTAAAATTTGGTGGTCTTTGACGAAAGCAGTCTCTAAAGGGGGATATTACAAGAGGCAAAACTTCCTTCAGTCGAGAAGCTAGCACCTTAGCAATGATCTTGTAGGTTGAATTGACCAAGCTAATGGGGTGGAAATCCTTCAAGCATTCAGTTCCTTCGATTTTTAGTACTAATGTTATAAAGGTTGCATTCATTGCTCGGTGAACGACCCCTCTTGAATGAAATTCAGTGAACAAAGCCAAGAATTCACCCCGAAAAGATTCCCAGAACTCTTTGAAAGGAGCTATGGGAAATCCATCCGGACCTGGCTCTCTATCCACTGCCAGACTTGAGATAGCGGCAAGGATTTCTTCCTCCGCAAAAGGTCTCTCCAACCATGCCACTTTATCAGGGGGGCGCAGACTGAATTGGATGTCTCCCATCGCTGGTCTCGGTCCTAAAGGAGCCGAGAAGAGATTCTTGAAGAAGGTAATAATGGCTTCCTCGATTTGTGTAGGTTGGTCTAGGCATCTGTCCCCTACCCTGAGATGTCAAATAGTATTATCCCTTCTCCTATAGTTGGCC